TCATAGTCTGGATGCTCTATAAGGTATATCTATAGTAATAATGCTTTAAGTCAGTTGGGCCATTTGCTCCAAGTTGGGTCCTATACCCAAGGGACCATGCACTATGTTTTTTTACTCGAGTCTTGTCAGCTACAAACAATAACTTACTACAACTTACATTTAATACCACAGAACAAAAATATTTGTCATTTTCTCTGATATTCTTATAAAGGTTGTTGTATCTCTTTATATTTTCATTTCCTTTCCTATCAGTCAATCTGAAGAAGTTAATGAAGTGTACATATATACACAAGAATAACTATAAACCAGTGAAATTTTATTTTATATCTATGTAATGATTTACACTAGTATTCTATCTTTATTCATGTACACATCTATGTTGAAAATATATATACTGTAATGATGTTCAGAATCAGTTCTCAAGTATTTACGTTTTATTTACATAAATCCAGATGATTAGTACATACAAGTACAAGGAAGTTAGATGGATATCCTTCACTCACAAAGATTTTATGACATGAGTTAGTCTGTAACCTTTGATAGTAATAATGTGATGTCTGCAGAATTCCTTGTGTCAGAAATGGATAAGATTCTTAGTAAAGTATTCTGTGTTGTTTGTCTCTGTGGTGATGCATGCCAGGATTGATGTTTTGTTGCTCTTTTCCTGCAGTTTTTTTGAATATGTGAAAGGACTAATGGACAACAGTGCTGTTCACTTACACCTCTTTTGTTTCCTTTTCTTTTTTATGAAATTATACTAATATTCTGATAGATAACTTCCCTTACTTAATAAGTCATATTAGTAATTATATATCAAAATAGGTTTGCATATATGCAGTTTTATATCAAAATACCATATACATTTTGCCAAGATATATTTAATACTAATGTAAATCAGTCAAGATTATATGCCTTAATATCATAGAGTATTATTTGTCAATATCAGACCATTTTTTATTCTTGTCTACAAAAAGTTCATATCTGTATGAATACACTTTAGAGGTGATTTTGATTATCTGTGAGCTTCATCAATTATTTTTCAAAGGCTATTGCTACTTCACACCATATATTTTTCAATAGGGCTCTTGGTACGAGGAGATGATCAACAATCGTAATAAATCTGTTGTGAGGGGAATGGCCTGGAACAGCGAAGGACAGAAGATTTGCATTGTGTATGAAGATGGTTAGTTTTGTGTCAGTGTACAGATAGGTGAATATTCTTTTGCTAAAACATGGATAGTGCCAATATTTTATGACTTAAAGTAAGTCTATAGTTTATTGTTGAAGTACAATGTTTTTATTATAGTACTCTATAACCTAACTGTAAATATTTTCCTTAGTTACTTTGTAAGAAATCATAGATAATATTGTTTCTCTATGCATCTACATTATAATCACTAGAATTATTATAATTTTATTAATTGTCATCAAGAGTTCCATGGATAATTACATCAGTATTATTGGCCTGGCCATTACATTCATTGTTAATGACATCAAAAGAAAATTGATTCTCCATATACATTTCCGATACTTCAGGCGCAGTGATAGTTGGCAGCGTCGATGGCAACCGCATTTGGGGAAAGGAACTCAAAGGCCAACACTTAATGGGGGTTGAATGGTCTCCTGACTCACGCCTTCTCCTCTTCTCCCTTCACAATGGGGAGGTCCATGTGTATGACAACACTGGAGGCTTTGTTGTGAGTGTCTGTAATGATTTTAACATATATATGTATATATATACATATGTATATATATATATATATATATATATATATATATATATATATATATATATATATATATATATATATATATATATATATATATATATATATATATATATATATATATTATGATATATATATAATTTATATATAATTTTATAAATCAATTTTGGTAATGATTACTTAATGGATTGATTAATATATTAACTGATAAGATGCAAATGCAAATGTTCGATGACATTATTCTGTCTTTATTTCATTTTCATAGAGCCGGTTGAATATACAGTGCCTGGGTAGCATGGGGCTCGGAGCAATGGTAGTCGGCCTAACTTGGTACAATGGGCGAAACGGCTATGTAGAACCTGACTGTCCTACCCTAGCCATATGTTATGACAACGGCAGAATGCAGATCATGAGGAATGAGAGTGATGACAGTATGTACTTAGCAACTTTACGTGAATAAAAGAAAACTTAGGCATTGCTTCAGTTACTGAAATCTGATATTTATAAATATAAAGTACCTTTATAGTTGACTCACATGTTTTTCTTTTATAGGTTATCATATTATTTACTTTCTTTTCTCATGCACTCTCTCACAGTGCCTGTTTTGATTGACACTGGAATGAGTGTTTGTGCCTGCCAGTGGAATCACAATGGCTATGTGATTGCGGTAGCAGGCACCCTTCATCTGTCAGGCATGGGAGAGAAAGACTGCAATGTTGTGCAATTTTATACTCCATTTGGTGAGGTAAGAAAGGCTGTATTTGCTATATTTTACTTTTCCTTGATGGTTTTTAACTATGTTTTAACTGTTGTTAACCCATTCGCTCTGGTGGCACATATATGTTCATTTTTACCTGGCGCAAATGTGTTAACCAAGTTTGAAATTCAATATTGAATGCCCTTGTTTAGTTAGGAGGGTTCCTTCATGACATGACTATTGTTTGTTGGCAAAATTTAGAAATCTTAGATACTATGCATAATCCAATACGAGTTACAATTTTGGGACTATTTATACTCTTAGTATTTATTTCATAATTATTGGCTGTAGGAATATATACTCACTGTCCATTTAACTTTCACTGCCACTTTACAGCACCTGAGGACCCTAAAGGTGCCAGGAAAGGAGATAACAGCCTGCTCGTGGGAAGGAGGATCACTTCGGATAGCTTTAGCAGTTGATTCCTTCATCTACTTTGCTAACATTCGTCCTGATTACCGCTGGTGCTTCTTTGCCAATACTGTGGTTTATACATACACAAAGCCTGAACGCACTGAAACATGCGTGACCTTCTGGGATACCAGGAATAATGAGGTAAATTATGAGGAAATAAGTCTCTCTTCTGCATGAGAAATGATATGTACATAGTTTACTTTTTTGAATACAGATTCCAAGCAGAATGTGGTAGAAAATGTTATTTAACGTTGTGTATTGAATAATGATCTGCCTCATTATCCTGAACAGCATTTCATTAAGCACATCAAGTACCTCATGGGAATGGCATCAAGTGGAGAGCACTGTGTCTTGGCTGTGCGCACTGATGATGGGTCTGGACAGTTTGGGCTCATCATCTGCAATGCTATTGGCACTCCAGTTGATAGTAAGTGCTTAGTAATTTTCTCTTTAAATTTTGAGAAAGAATATCACTCTTATCTTTACTGTTTTGTGGTATAGGTTGGTACAGCCAGTATAACTATCATTCTTTTAGTATATATAACAAAGACTTATTGTTGTGATAAGAGTTTGACTGCAAAACTAAAATTGGACTTCATTATTACTTTAACAAAATGGTAAAGGTCTTAGGCGTATTCATGTGTTTTCCTTTTCTTCCTCTCACTATTTTGTTTACAGCTTGTTCAGCACAAATCCTTCACTATTGATTATTCTTTCAACAGGTAAATACATTGACATTGAGCCCCATTACCTAACCATGACCAGCAGTTATGTCTTTGCTGCATCCAAGGAGAACTTCTATATTTGGCACTTCAAGACTCCCAAAGCTCATACATCAATTGAGGTTCCTGGTAGGTTACATATGTTTACTTTTTTTTCAGGGAAAGGTTTTACTTTCAAATTTTCTGATTATTCTTTATGCCCCAAAATCATTATTGCATTTATTTCTAAAATGCTGTTGTTGATGTTGACATTTTGAAAATTACTTTTTTAACTGGCTGTCCACAAAAAGGAAAAACAATTATATTCCAGGTTCAGTGAAAGTAGACCGTCAAGAACGCCTGTACCATATTGATGACACTCCCACGGGTGTCAATGACGTCTTTAGGGAAGGAGACAAACTTTTTGAGGTAGGCTGGTGTACTCCATAGTAAAAAGATGAAAGTTTTGACAAATTTGCAGTCTCTAAAGTTGACTTTGTAGTTTAAAATGACTTTATGGATAGAAAATGTTTTTCTTTCTGAAAGGTCTTGTGTCCTTACTGCTGAAAAATGATAATGCACTAGAACCCTGAGAACTCAAACAAGAAGTACAACCTCCAGCCACCCCTAATCTCTATGCTTCTTCATATACATAGTGTTGGCATGTGACCTCAGATCACTATAGCTGTAGCCAATAAATTTTAGCCTGTAATATAAGGAAGGAGGGTATCCCTTATTACAAACCTTCATGATTTAGAAATAAAATATAGAAAATAATTAGAAATAGAAAATAGAAATAGTGTAAATCTTGATGAGCAGTGAAGTATGACTTGGGCCAGCAGATTATTTTGTTGTCTAAATTATGTTAGCCATATGAAGTAGCATACTTGGCCCTAATAAAGTGAAGTTCACCTTTTAGAGTCACAACTAGCCACAACCTATGAGATTATACACATGCCCAGGCTGAAATTATCATAGATGTGCTCACCAGCTTCTCAACTGAGTGTAGCTGATTAAGCAGCACCACAAACACTTGAGCATGTGTGACAAACCTCATGTCTGACAAGAAAATATCATACTTGTTTAAATTTACATCATGCATATTGATCATACCTTCAGTCATATCACACATGATCAGCCTGTATATTCAACCTTCTGTGAGCTGCATAAGGAAATGGATGGCTGACAGGTTTCTTTTCTGCAGAAATTTGTAACCACAGTATGTTGCCCACTGCTGAATTGATGAACTATAGTGTGCACACCTTACACATATTCTGTAGACTCCCTCCATAAAATTATGACTCAAAGTTGTTGATGCAGACTGCAGGAGACCATTTCTGGGATCTTCCTTGTGGTATTGATTGCATTGGCAAGAAGGTAGCACTAAGCATATTTCTTCAGGTATTCCTCCTTACTTAGCATTTGTAGTTCAAGATACTGCCATCCATTCAGACCTTACAATTCCTGTCTGTTAAAAGGTTTTAAATGAAAATGGAATATTATGCAGCTTGAGAGAATGCCACACTTTTATGTTGTGTTATAGGTTTCCTCAAGATTCAAGAACACTGCTATTGTGTAATGGCTTCATTCAAGAGTACCATATTACAGTGTTATATCTCATTTATCGAAATCCATATTAACCCCAAAACCCAAGTTAGTATAAAGTTGACCAATTCTTCAGTAGTTTCCAGATACTGCTAGTTAAAGAAATTGGTCTATAACCCCCTGGTCATCATTATCACTTTTGTGTATGGGGATGATGATACTTCTTTCCAACTTATAAGCACTGTGACCTCTCAAAATATCCTGTAGCAGATGACCAGCAAAAATTTAGAGAGCTGTCTGATACCTGAGAATGTAGGTTGTGTGGGACTTGCTGGCATCACATTCAGCTATTAAGGTGGAAAAACACGAAGTGAGATTTGCTCAGGGAGAGATCTGTGCCACAGATTTAACTAGTTTATTTGAAATATTTATTTGTTTCTGTGGTGACTGTGTTATCAGGAAATAGGACTAACTTCCCAGCTTTCTTACAGACTTTCTCCCATACCAGTAAAGACGTACCATCTTCATAATATTCATATGGCTTTGACTTTCATCCTTTTGTAATGAACATATCTAATTCTGAGTTTCATCCACCTTAAGGCAGTGTGTCCTACTCTCACCACTATGTTACTGGAAGTTTTTTGTAATCAACTCATTTAGATGGTAGATATATCTATCTGTGTGTAGTAAAGAAAAATCTTAAATGTTGAATATGCTGATTTCACTTTTCCTTGAGTTTGTTGGAAAAGCATATTTTTCACTAATTCTATCAGTATCGATACTGTTATTATTATTATAGACATTATGATTATCATAGTGTTATTTACATTACTAACAGCAATATAGGATACCAGAAAATATTTCCAAAAATCAAGGAAAATGGTAAAAATATGTACACATACTCACAGGAGGCATGGTATGTATGTACATGCTATCACCGGTGGCATCAGGTTAATGGTTGAAATACTTGGGTTATGTGCACCTAAGGGGATTCATATAGGGCAATTCATGGTTGGATAGTGTTCCTGTTTGAGTTCTGGTGTACCAATTCTTTTTTAGCAACAATGGGTCAACTTAGCTAGGAAGGTCAGATTATGCATATGTAGTAGTTTGCAGATCAATTAGACAGAAAAGTTTAGATTTATAACATAAGAAGATGGAACTACAGCAACTGAGTTTGTTCTCTATTTATTTAGTTCATCATTTTTCTTTCTTTCTTTTTTATATCTGGGTAAAACAATATCTGTTGCTTAATTAGTAGAAACAATATTATCTTGGCTTTCCTATTACAGGCAACAAGTGACCCAGTCTGTTGTCTGACAGCAAGTGAACGAATTTTAGTGATTGGTAGAGAGTCAGGAGCCTTGCAAAGGTATGCTCTGCCTCATGTTGCCCTGACTGCGCGTTACACCTTGCCATGTCGTCCACATCGATTGGCACTAAATTGTAACTCTACGTAAGTTTTGATTGAACACATTCAACTGTCTCACAAATAAAGAAAAGTTTCTTCAATATTTTACATAACTTATAATTCTAAGTTGATTTTATTTAGATTACTGAAGTTAAAAGGGAGGTTGAGTATGGAACTTAAATATTTTCTTAATAGTGATTATGTAATACCTTTGTTATGCCTTGTGATTTTTTCTTTAACAGGGAATGCATAACACTTCTTCAATTTCTTGATTTTTATTAAGTAATTTCAAATTTAAGCTACTGCAACCCAGAGATATCTGTGCAGACACACATCACAGGTGGTACTGGTGAATAATGGGTTAAAATCTTTTGAATCTCTTTACATGGCATATATTTATTCCTTAACTTACAAGAGACTGCACCTTGGCAGTCTTTAGTTTAGGTATATATGTAAGATAATATTGAATACACTATGAATACATTGTGTAGTTTTTACATATCAGACAGATGATAAAGATTATTGAAGTATGCTTTCACAGGTTGTGTATTAGGTATTTTTTTAATCATTCTCTATATTGATTGGTGTATAGCACTAAATTTAATTACATTCTTGAACCTTGCAAAGGTAAGGTGATAGTAAAGTAAATTTTTTTCTTTTTCTTTTCTTTTCTTTTTTTCTTTTTCTTTTTCTTTTTTCTTTTTAATCATGTAAATTAAAAGATAAAGTACTAGGAAAAGTCACACATCCCATTAGATTTCATACATCCTGGGGTATACATACACCTATTGGGAACTTCTGCTTTTAAGTAATAGCATGGTTTGTAAGGTGTGGTACTTTTGGTCATTCTTGCTTGTTTTCTTTTGCAGGCGCTTGGCCATTGTTGATATCACAGGATTGCTTACCTTCCTGGATCTTGATACACGCACATCAGACAATAATGGGAAAGAGGTAAGCCTTTTGGATTTACAATGAAATAGGAAATTTGTAAGAGTTTACTTGAACTTTTATTTTCTCATTAATTGTCTTTCTGTATATATATACGTACACATGCACTCACACTCGGTCGCACACACGCACACACACACACACACACACACACACACACACACACACACACACACACACACACACACACACACACACACACACACACACACACACACACACACACACACACACTCACACACACACACATCAACTTATGTGCATAAATAGATAGATTTATTTATTTATTTGTTTTAGTATTACCAGTAATGTATGTATATATGTGTGTGTATGTTTGTGTGTGTGTGTGTGTGTGTATAAATATATATATATATATATATATATATATATATATATATATATATATATATATATATATATATATATATATATATATATATAGATAATTTGTGATATAATATATATAATATATAATGTGTGATATAATGTTATATACAATATATGTATAATCCAATATGTATTATATATGATATATAATATAATGTATAATATAATATATGATATATAATATAATATGCAATGTAATATATAATAGAATATAGAATATAATATATAATATATAATCTGGTATATGATATATAGTATAATATATAATATAATATGATATATGATATAATATGTAATGTATGTATAATATATAATATATAATATAATGTATAATATATAATATATAATATAATGTATAATCTATAATATAATAATATATGATATATAATATATGATGTAATATGTAATATAATATAATATATAATTTAATATAATGTATAATATAATATGATATATAATTTAATATGGTACATAATAATAAAATATATGATATATAAAGTAATATATATAATGATGTATGTGTGTATGTATATATATATATATGTATGTATGTATGTATGTATGTATATACATATACACGCATATACATTTACACATAAGATATAACCTTTTTTTACATTTTCTGACCAACACATGAAAATCCACTCGCTTCAGATAATGGGATCCATTCTGAAGTTTGAGCGCAAGGATGTTTGGGATATGTGTTGGGCTCTAGACAACCCTGAACTGTTCGCTATGATGGAAAAGACGAGGATGTATGTCTTTCGCAACATGGATCCTGAGGAACCCATTGCCAGCTCAGGTTATCTGTGCAGTTTCCAGGTTTGTTGATGTTTTCTCCTTTATGGGGATTTATGACCATGTTATTTGCTTCTTTCGTCTTGTTACTATCCTCTTGACTTTTTTTTTTTTTTCAGAAATTAGATATTTAGGAGATGTTCCCATGTTTTTGCTTAAGTAGAGTTCTATAGGAGGTAGCTATATGGGTTACGTATATTAGGCATCTTTTTTTTTTTTAACAGAGATCAAAATAAGAGTAATTATAAGTTGAGTTGTTAAATGGCTATTTTAATCAAAATGCCTTATTATTTTTATAATTCATTGTCAGAACTTACATATTTTACAAATTATTTTATATTGTACACATTCTTTTGACTATATGTTACAGACCCATCTGATAAAAGACATAATTATTAATTGGAACAGGACCTAGAAATACGAGCGGTACTCTTGGATGAGGTGATGCGAGAACCTGAAGCACCCACAACTGACCACTTGCTCACATTGGAGGTGAAAAGTCTGCGTGACACACGAGACCTTCTAGAGAAAGTGTCAATCAAAGATGCAGCCGCGTTCATTGATGAGAACCCACACCCAAGACTCTGGTACACCATTCTCTTTTAATATTTTATGATTAGTAAAAGTTTAGAGAATTTGGTTCCTTGATGAGTTCGATATTCGAGATATACATATCAGTGTTTTCATCCTTGAATATATACCTATAGCTATCTCAAGGGGGGGAAAGTTTCTTGTAAGCATTTTATTCCAGGCGTCTCCTTGCTGAAGCGGCTCTCGAAAAGCAGGACCTTAAAAATGCTGAAGCTGCATTTGTACGTTGCAAAGATTATCCAGGAATCCAGTTAGTTAAGCGGATATCAAACATCCAAAATGAAGCTTTGAGGAAAGCAGAAGTTGCTGCCTATTTCAAAGACTTTGATGAAGCAGAAAGGCTGTATCTGGAAGTTGATCGCAGGTGAGTCAGATAATGAACTGAAAGATATAATAAAGATTTAGTAACACTTGAGATAAAGTATTAGAGTGTAGAGTAAAGTTACAGTTCCATTACATGAAAAAAAGAGATTATGCCCATGGTAAGGATGCTTTCAATGCATGGGTTTTGCAACTGGAGGCAATATGCTTGAATTTTCATAGTGCATTAAATTGTTTGTTGTTTTAAGATCATGAAATAGGCTATTTCCTTACAATCTATTGACATATGCATTTATGCCACAAAGGAGAGATAAAGATTCAGTAATGAATTTTGAAAAAAAAAATGTTTGATAGATGAATTAATTTATAATGATACTTTATTGTACTATGTTACTGTTTGATTCTAATGATACTGCTTACCTTGCAGGGATGTTGCAATTGCTCTTCGTCGTAAACTAGGAGACTGGTTCAGGGTTGTGCAGCTGCTCAAATCTAGTTCTTCTGGGGATGACCTGAAGATGGAAGAAGCCTTGAATAATATAGGACACTATTATGCAGATAGACACAAATGGTCAGTATGTAGAAAATTGTATCTTTCTTGTGCATATCTTTTTTAAGGTAACCCAGATCATTTAATAGCTTCAATACTTCTAGGTCTTTTCTTTATGCTTTGTTATAATTCAGTTTTACCTACTTTTACATGTACAGGGATGATGCAGTGAAGCATTTTGAACCTGCACACAACCATGAGATGCTGGCCATCTGCTATTACCAGCTGGAGGACTTTGGAGCTTTGGAATCATTAGTACGCTCTCTGCCTGACAACTCCACACTTTTGCCTGCCATTGCTGATATGTTTACAAGTGTTGGCATGTCCCAGCAAGCTGTAGCTGCTTTTATGAAGGTAGGTGTATAAAGGCCATTGATGGATTTTGTATTGCTAATCAGTGCTATGTCTGTTATTTACCTTTAAGCATGTTAAAGATATTAAAGTCTAGATGGCATAGGAAGTGCCTGTATGAAGTAGTTTCTGCAAGTCATGAAATTAATATAAACAGCTTCTCAGTGTCAGTCTCATGAAAGTGTACCAGAAATATAGTATAGTAGTAATACCATAATATTCTTTTCTTTTAGTGCAGTCGTGTGAAGTCAGCCATTGACACCTGTGTAGCCCTAAACCAGTGGCATGAAGCAGTTGAGTTGGCCAAGCAACACAATGTCACTGAGATTAGCGCTCTCCTGGCCCGCTATGCTTCTCACCTGTTGGAAAAAGGAAACCGTCTTCAGGCAATAGAACTTTACCGTAAAGCTGACAAACTGCTAGATGCTGCTAAACTTCTGTATGAGGTATGAAAGTGATGAATTTAAGTCATACAGAAGACACATTTCTGTTGTCATTATATGACAATGCACTGTAACTGACATTCTTTATATTGTAGAGTCCGTTTTAATTATAAGATTGTCTGTCCATGAAGACATGTGTTAGATATGATGCTTCCTAATGGCCCTATCTCACTAGCACTTTTTCTGTCAGTTTTTGGGAATGGGAATCACACAAGAATTCAGGTGTAATGTAATGTTTAACCCTGGGTTCGAGCTATATGACTTGCTGTACAAGACCAACACTCTCATTAATTTTGTATTCTCTACTTTCAGATTGCAGATGAAGAAGGAAAAAAGAAGAGCCGTCCATTGCGTGTGAAGAAATTGTACCTTCTTGCAGCCCAGCTTGTTCAGGAACACAATGCAAAAATGAAGACTGCTATGAAAGATGGTAATTCCAAAAGTTTACTTTAACAATGTCATGCTTTATTTGCAAAGTTTTAGCTTTAAATGTTTGCTTAAAGATGACAGATATAGATAATTGCCCAAGTTTTCATAAAAAAAGCCTACATCAAAAACACAGTAAAACAGTAATAGTAATAATAATCATTAATCAGAGTCATGAAAATATACTTAAAAGTCAAATATCTTGTAATGCATGCAGGTACAGAAGGAAAACACTTGCTATACATGTCTGTTTTTCAGCCAGTGGTAGTCGAAGTGCAGCTCTCATGGGACTGTTTGATGACGGGATGAGTGGGACGGTGAACGTAGAGGAGGGCGGAACTCAGACAAATTTCCTGGACAACCCGTGGAAGGGAGCTGAAGCATACCATTTCTTCTTACTTGCACAGAGGCAGTTATATGAAGGTTGGTCTATTATGCCATCATTTCCTGCTGTCGTATTTGTCTTTTCCGTCTTCTTTGTCATTCTCAGTCTATTACATTTTGTTTCTTTTCTTTAATGACTTCATTCGTATTCAGTATTTTCTTTACTAATCTTTTCATCATCTTCATTTTTAATTCTGTTTCTCAGTGTACCATGGCATCATACCACCTTATTCTTTGATTAATTGATTTAAGTTGTGTGTGTGTGTGTGTGTGTGTGTGTGTGTGTGTGTGTGTGTGTGTGTGTGTATTATATATATACATATAAATATATATATATATATATATATATATATATATATATATATATATATATATATATATATATATATATATATATATATATATACACATATATATATATATACATATATATGTATGTATATGTATATGCATATGTATATATATATAAATATAAATATAAATATATATAAATATATTCATATATATATATATATATATATGTGTGTGTGTGTGTGTGGGTGGGTGGGTGGGTGGGTGGGTGTGTATGTGTATGTATAATAGATATTTCTATGTATATATATATATATATATATATATATATATATATATATATATATATATATATATATATATATATATATATATATAGGCTAGGTTGAGAGTAAAGTAAAGCTTCTAAAATGAAGGATTATCATAGTTATTGCAAAAATAATACAAAAATAATG